TGCTCTAGGTTTGCTTTCAAATATATAAAATAAGAAAACGTGGTAATCTCTTAGAGTCCCTTAAATTTCAAACATTCTATGTTTCTAAAAGTAAAACTAGTATCTAGATTTCTGTAAACTTTTTAAACACTGGAAACAATAATAGTTGCCTTTCTTTACAGAAAAAGGACATGCTTCATCTTAAATAACTATACGCTGTTTTAAAAATTTAGGGGAAATTGACATATTATTTATATTCAAGTACAGGTACTTATACATTACTCACCTCCCAGTAACTGATATGATTTAAGGAGACAGAGAATGAACTGTAGCAAAATCAGAAGTATGGCCAACTTGACTTGTCTTACGTGAAATACATCTAAGAATTTTTTCACAGCAAGCACTAGCCACAACTGATGCCAGTTAAGGCTTGGCAAAAAATGAATTATTAAATTGGTCTGCTTATCTCCTATTACAGACTTCTTATGAATACTTGATTTTATTTTGTATAATTGACAAGAGTTGACAGGAAAGGACAGGTTTAATGACAATCAAATTAAGATCAACTAGCATGTGTGTCACGTAGGAGAGCCGCATCAAGTGGTGATACAGTAATTGATGGGACATTGTGAGACAGAGTAGGAGCCTGTCATATATTGTAATAAGTTACCATGTAATATTAGGAGACTGCCTGCAACAGCTCACAAATCCAACAGCTCTGAAAGAGACGGGCTACAGTATATGCCCAACAAAAGAAAAATAGACATTGACTTTGCATATATAATACCAGATCGTTTGCCATTAAACTTAATTTCTAAATCATTTATATGACTTAATGACTCTGCATGAAATTTTTAAGCTGGTGGCAAGGTTAATAGCACCACAGAGAGAAGTTAGATGAGTACAGTGTCATTTACCTAGCCCTCGCCCCACTAACAAGTGACAGCTGAGCTATTGTAATATGTCCCAGACACTTAAACTATAATGTCATCACTTAGGAGACAAGTGAAAAAGATATTGGCACTTATAAGAGATTGATGAAAATTACTTCTAAAGCATTAATTTCTCTTAATACCACTAAAAGAATTGTGCGCATTCAAGAGATATTTGATCTGAATTAAGAAACTGATGAAGCAATTGATTAATTGGAATTTAAGCCATCAGTCACCAGATCCATCAACAGCTTCATTTACATTCTAAACAATCAGCTGACGGCCCAATAGAATACCCTGTATTAATACACAGTCAATATGATGCCACGAAGAGACTCACTGAGCTGTACTGACAAACACCCAGCAGCTATTGTCCAAGCTCAAACGTGCTGCATAGATTTAGGACTTTTATATTATAGGCTAGGGTTTAAAGGTTTTTATTACAATAGACAATGTATTATCAAGTTTTTCTGAACTGAAACTGAAAATAAAATAATATTAACAGTATTAGTAGATACACAAAAAATTATGAACAGTATGCTTTTGAAAACAAGGCTTTAATTACAAAACTTAAAATAATTACATAAAATCACACAAACAGAATTTCCAAAGCTAAGACTCCTTGATTGAAAGCAATATTATGACACAAATTTTATACAGCTTGGAAGCTTTTTGGTTCACTTTATAAAAAGAAGAAAAACAGCACAAAACAGCACCTGACATGTTAACGTCTGTGTGAGAGTAATTACTAATTGTTTTAACAATTTAAATTTGATAAAAAAAATAAAATGAGAACTATAATAGAACCATAGGTTAAAACAGACTAGAGTAGGTTCCTAAACTTGACCATTAATAATGTTCCAGGAATATGTAAAACAATCAAAGATTTAGAATATGTGTATATGGTGTACATTTTTCTGGGAAACCAGTTAATAATTCTTAAGATTCTCAAAGATCATGACCTCCAAAATATTAAGTATCATTACACTACAGAGAGCAATTGTCCCTACAACATGAAATGTAAAGCAAAATTAGAGAAAAAGAAGAGAAAATGTTTTTAAAACATAACCAATTTGGATATAATGTTATTTATCTGAAGTTAACCCAATAAAGAGTATCTCACCTGCCTAATGCTCTAATGTTTTATTTATGTTGTGCTGTCTTACTATGCATAACAATGATACAATGAAAAGATGCTTAAGAGGTTGAAGAAGAATTTCCAAAAGTGCTATTAGTCATCACATCTTCAGTGAGGCATTTATATCCTCCAGTCCTCACATTCCTCCTCCGAAAATCCAACATTTCTGTCTTCCAGCTTTAAAGTGCCGGATTTTGTTCATCTTTTATCTCCTAACAATATACATAATCTCTTTCAAGTTAATTACCTAAACTATTTCCATATTTAGGATAATATTCTTAATCTGACATATATTTCTACCATAATCATTAAAAGGGCAATTAATATAAAAGCATCTCCCAAATGCAAACAGGTTATTCATTGTACTGAATACATTTAGAAACAAAGACAAACAAATCATAAATAAGTAGACAATGTCAGCAGGGATGGTGGTGTAAAAATCTCTGAAAATCTATTCCTCCATAACTGTAATAAGAACATTAGCAAAAATTGTCAAAAGCAACTTTTTCAGCACTCTGGAAAATAATCAAAGACTTGCAATTATCCCAGGTGCATTTACTCAAGAAATACGTCCAAATCTAGCTATGAGTGAGCTGTTGGTGTTAGGACTTGTCCCATTCCCAGACATCCAACCCCAGGCTCCACTGTAGCAGCCACCGAGGGAGCCAAACCAGGGCTGAGGCTCCCCAAGCCCCATACCCAGAGGACCGAAATCACCTGGCCAGGTAGGGCTTGTCTGAATTTGGCCTGACAGAGCTCATTCATGGAGAACAGCGTTTTTCATGGGATACTGGTCAAAAACAATCAGCGGTAATTGTTAAACAACATAATTACCCCGGACGGTGACAAAGCTGGGGTAAACAATAAGTTCACCAAAAAACTTAAAAGAAAAGCTGGAAAATCAGATGACTGGAGGGGGCTTTGAAAAGCTCTAACATACTCCTAGGAGCCTAGAAAGCCACTTGCCCGTGCAGGGCTGCACACATGCCCAGGAAAACCTGAGAGGCCCTAATGTCTCACACTTGGCTGATCTTGAGGCTCTGCACAAGCAAGAAGTAAAGGTGAAGGCAGAGTTGTTAACCACCTGCCACAGCACTGCAGATGTTAGGGGAACACCAGCTCCCGTAAACGATAAACCATTCAACTTTGGTACTTAATAAGAAATATTTCTCTCTCTTACAGAATCCATTTGGTAATGGAAGGGGAGGGGCTCTGTTCTACACACTCATTCAGGAGCCTAGGCTGCGAGGGAAGCACTGCCATCTTCAACAGGCAGCTTCCAAGGTTACCCAAGTCATGGACACTGAGCCAGCACCGGGAGAGAAGAGTAGATGGCTGCAAAAGAGGGTAGGCCCGGGCTGGAAGTGGTACACAGGAACTGAGCCATCCCCTTCAGCCAGACCTCAGGGCATGGGACCATCTAACTGGACAGGGAGTCTAGCTGTATTTCCAACAGGAAAGGGAAATGAACTGAAAAAGCAGCTCTCCAGTGCCCACCCTAAAGAGAAAACAAACCTTTCAATAAATCATACACAATAAAGTAAATGTATCAAGGGTACAGAGATTGCTTGATTATTAGGTATAGCTGAACTCTTCTGTTAGTGACAGCCCCATCGTACAATGTAAACAACCATAACTACTATTGGTAAAAAGAGAAAATATTTTTTTTCTCTCTTACAACTTAAAATAGCCCTTTTAAAAAAAATGCTGTTTATAAATGGAGGAAAAACTAAATCAACAACTCTAAAATTAATTTAGAGTCCTCTCTAGAGTCTTCATGCTACAAATAATAATACACAGACTGAGCTTCCTATGAAAATATTGTTTATTCAACAAAGTCAGAAATGTAAGGCAGAAGACTTTGGATATTACCAGATTAATCTCTCATCATTTTAGAGAGGATGAAAATGTGTGACAATGTGGCTAGGTCACATCTCATTACCACCACTCCACCTTCCTATGGCTGAAAGCTCAGGTCATAGAGTGTTATTTTCTCTGTGAAGCTCACTTCAACTCACCTAGGTCCCTCCCCTGTTACCACCACATGTCTTTTAACTCTTACAGTATCTATAAAATCAGAATATAACTAATTGTCAATATATGTTAGTGCTATGGAGTCAGTCAATTTCGACTCCTAGGGACCCTGTAACAGCAGAGCAGAAGCCTGCCGGGTCTTTCTGTGCCATCCTCGCACCTTCCAGCGTTCTATCAATGTTCTGCTGTAATTCATAGGGTTTTCATGACCAATTTTTTCCAAGTGAGTGGCCAGGTCCTTCCTTCTAGTCTGTCTAGCCTGGAAGCTCCACTGAAACCTGTCCACCTGGGTGACCCTACTGGTATCTGAAATCTTGATGGCAGAGCTTTCGGCATCACAGCAACATGCAGGCAGCCACAGTCTGACAACTGACAGATGGGTGGTGTGGTTCCCTGACCAGGAAACAAACCCAGGCTGTCGTGGTGAGAGCCCTGAATCTTAACCACTAGACGACCAGGGCTGGCCCATCAATGTGTACACTTCCATAAAGAAGTAGATCAGGAATTCTTTGAAGGGAGCAACTCAGTTTTGCTCCTTTTATTATCCTAGGCAACAAGCAGTGCATGGCACACAGTAAGTGGTACATAAATGTTTACTGAACTGATAATTAAAATTGCAAATGCAGAATACCAATCAAATTTCAAGCAACATCATCATTTAATTATTTAGATATCAATATAGATTTGACTGAAAACATTCATTTGATACATAAGTTCTGACAGGATTACATTTTTTAAACAAAACACACAACAAAATCATCGTTTCAAAAATCAATAGTTAAATGTGATTTAGAAATTAATGAATTCAATGTATTATCATTCAAAGAAAAATTTTTATAAAAATAAATTTACCTTTCAAATTGAAAATTAAACTGCAAAATACCAAATTACCAACAATGTAAGTAAAAATAAAATACCTGCTTTTTCTGAAGTCCTAAGAAATACCATGTCCGATGGAATTCTTTGATTCTGCAGAGAGTAATATAAAATATTAATTAACTATATGCAGTTTTATAAATTAACACAATTCCATTTCAAAGTAGAAATATCTACTAAAAATAACTAAAATAACATTATAATTAAAATTTATGCTTAAGCAATTAACATTTGTAATTTGCATAACAAAAATAACTATTTTTATTCATATTTTAGTTGGACCTCTAAGATTTTATCCATTAACAAACCACATAAACGGTAGTTAGTGATGAGTCAAAAACTGCTCCATTTCTGAATAATGTTAAATATTCCCATTTCTGTGGCCTCTCTTGTACCTTAACTCATACATATAATAGAGTAGTTATTGCCTTATTAAAAATATGTCCTCCCTATTAGAATAAATGATGTTGGAAAGCGAGGATAGCGTTTTCCCAATGCCTAACAAAAACAGAGCATATCATAAATAAAACACTTAATAAATGTTGAATGAATGAATAAATGTACAACTGAAGAAACAAACAAAAAGCCCACAAATTTGAGGAGATATTCTTTTAAAAGCAGAAAAAGAAAAAACTCAAAGATATGGTATGACATATAAAAACATTTACAAGTCACTATACATACATTTATTTAATCATTATTACTAATAACTCAATTGGGAAAGTTGTAATAAACCAAAGAAAAAATGTATTATTATAATAAGAATACTTCACATAATTTCATGAGTTACTTATATTTTTTGAGATTTAAGATTCATCTACACATGATAAAGAAATGGATTACTAGTCAGTCAGCCAGCAATAAAAACAAATATAAGTAGTTTCAAAGCCGAAAAAAGATATGTTGTAGGATAGAGCTATTCTTTCTAAGATGAAGAAAGAAAGAAGGGCAATTATTAAGATCTGAAGAACCATCCAGTCAAGGAAGAAATCACAATGGAAATTAGAAAATATTTTTAACTGAATGGTAATAAAAACTCAACATATAAAAACACATGGAACACAGCCAAAGTCACGAAAATGTTGAGGAAAATATACCCAATTAAATGCATATAATAGGAAAGGGAGGCTAAAAATACACAATATCCATTTGAAAGCAGGAAAACAACAGTCAATGAACTCCAAAGAAAGTACAGGATGTGAGCAAATATAAGAGCACAATACATGACGAAGAAAACAAATATATATATATATACACACACACACACACACCAGTAACAAACAGCAAGAAAGTAAATATTATTTTTTAAATATGCTCATTTCAGTAATAAGAAAAAACGAACATCATAATAAAACTAATAAAAGATGGGCGGGACCTCTAAATAAAAAAGTATAAAATATTACTAAAAGAAATGAAATAAAGCCTAAATAAATAGGTCATCTTCTGAAATTAGAATATACAATATTGCAAACATGTCAAGTGCCCATAAATTGACCCATACATCAACACAAACCAAATAAAAGTTATAACATGTTTTTTGGTGAGAAATGACAAGGTATTCCTAATAATTACAGGGAAATGCAAAGGCCAAGAATGACCAAGATAAGTGTGAGAAACAAACGAAGGGTTGAGTCTACAATGTAATGAAACTAAAATATTAAACTGGAGTAACTAAGATAAGATGGCATTCCACCAAGACAGACAATGATACCAATGTGAAAGCAGAGAATCGAGAAGTTGGCCCACACGTATCTGGACACTAGATTTATGAGAAAGGTGGCCCTGCAGACCAATGAGAAAATGACGGTCTTTTCAATAAATAGGGCTGAGAAAATTAGATGTCCACACAGGATGAGGGGAGACCATAACTGACCTCTACTTCAATAAAAACTCAAAAATCTATTCCACGTGAATTATACTTCTAAATGGCAAAGTCACAACCATAAAACACCTAAAAGATAATGTAGAAGAATACTCTCACAACTTTTTGGTAAGGAGAGATTTCTTAAACAAGACTCCTTCCTCTCACTACCAAAAATTTTTTTAAAAAACTAACTATAAATGAAAAGTAGATTTCATTAAACTTAAGAATTACTTTCCATAAAGCACACCACGAAGGAACAGATATTTGTAACATAAAACTAATAAAAGATTCCCATCCAGAATACACAAAGGCCTGCAAACTGGTAAGAAAAGAAAGGATAATACAGCAGAAAAGTGGCAAGAGATTTTAATAGCCTCTTCCCAAATAAGAAAGATATCCAAAATCACAGGAAAAGGTACCCAATTTTATTAGTCTTCAAGGAAATGCACACTAAAATCACAACTACTACATCCATATTGGAAATGGTAAATACTTTTAGAAGGTTGGCAATGACTAGTATTGACAAACATGTGACGCAGGGGGAACTCTTACACACTGCTGATAAGCTTATAATTTGATACATCACTTTGCAATATCGTTTGCAGTATCTAGTAAAGTGGAACATACACATACCCCAAACCCAAAATTCCACTCCTAGGTATGTATTCAACAGCATTGTGTGCAGATGTGAGCCAAAAGACATGGTCAAGTATGACACAGAAGTATCAATTCCTAATAAGGAAAACTTAGAAGCAGCCCAAATATCCATCAACAGTAGCATGGATAAAAGGCATACTATGTAACAACAAAATGAATTACAACTACACACAACAAAATGGAAGATTCTCATAAACAGCATGGGGCCAAAATAAGGCACCCGCCCAAACACAGTCATCCCACTGAATTTTCTAGGCACTCTTGCTGAAAATCAATTAACCAGAAACTTAAGGCTTTGTTTCTGGACTCTCAACTCTGAACTTTTGCCACTTACAGTCTTGATTACCATAACTTTTATTTTTTTTTAAAGATTTTATTTTTTTCCTTTTTCTCCCCAAAGCCCCCCGGTACATAGTTGCATATTCTTCGTTGTGGGTCCTTCTAGTTGTGGCATGTGGGATGCTGCCTCAGCGTGGTTTGACGAGCAGTGCCATGTCCACGCCCAGGATTCGAACCAACGAAACACTGGGCCGCCTGCAGCGGAGTGCGCGAGCTTAACCACTCAGCCACGGGGCCAGCCCGATTACCATAACTTTTTATAAAGTTTTGAAATGGAAAAGTGTGAACACTCCAATTTTGTTCATCTTTTTCGAAACTGTTGTGGCTTTTATGGATCCCCTGTATTTCCATATGAATTTTAGAATCAGCTTCTCAGTTTTGCAAAGAAGTCAGCTGAAATGTTGAGAGGGATGGCACTGAATCTGCAGATCAATTTGGGGAGTACTGCCATTTTAACATTAATACGTCAAATTCATAAACATGGGCTATCTTTCCATTTATTTACATCTTCTTTAATATGTTTGGACAATGTTTCATAGTTTTTGAAGTACCAGTTTTGCACTTCTTAAGTTTACTCTTAATAATTTTTAAGTATTTTATTCTTTTTGATGCTATTGTAAACAGGATTTTTTCTTAAGTTCATTCTCAAACCACTACTCGTTATTCCCTTATTCCGTTTTATTTTCTATGAGGTACTCACAAATAAACTAGATAACATCGAATAATTATTGGATACTTTTTATTTTTCCCTCCCCTCAAGACTATGAGCAACATGAGAGCAGGGATCTATTTTCTTTTTTTTTAATTTTTCCTTCTTCTTCTCCCTGAAGCACCCCAGTACATAAGTTGTATATTCTAGTTGTAGGTCCTTCTGGTTGTGTTATGTGGGGGACAGCCTCAGCATGGCCTGACGAGCAGTACCATGTCCACACCCAGGATCCGAACCGGCGAAACCCTGGGCCACTGAAGCAGAGTGCGTGAACTTAACCGCTCGGCCATGGGGCCAGCCCCTGTGTTTTATTAACATGATATACCAAGGCATGATGTACAACAGTTTGTTTGACCATCAACCATTCAGAATATCTGGAACTGTTTCTCATTTCTGGCTACTATTCATAATGTAGATATAAACATTCATGTACAGGCTTCTGTGCCAACTTAACATTTCTCAGTGATACCGGTCTAAGAGTTCAATTGCTGGGTCATACAACAGATGCATATTTATTTCTTTAAGAGATTGTCTAATGATTTTCCAGAATAACTGTGACATCTGATATTCCCACAAGAAGTTTGAGTGACCCATTTTCTTCACAACATTGCTAGCATTTTGTGTTGTCACCCTTTTTCATTGTAGCCATTCTGCTACGTGTAGTAATATTTCATTGTGTTAATTTGCATTTCCTGATAACTAATGATGTTGAATATCTTTTCACATGCTTATTTTCTATCTGTAGATCCTCTTTGGCAAAATGTCTCTATATCTTTTGCCCATTTTCTAATTTGATTTTTTTTTTTTACTGTTGAGTTTTAAGACTTTTTACATATCTAGATACAAGTCTTTGTCAGATCTAAGGTTTACAAATATTTTCTCGTTGTCTGTAGCTTGTTTTTTCATCATATTCACATGTTCTTTCACAAAGCACAAGTTTTTAATTTTAATGAGATACAATTTAACAATTTCTTTCTTTTATGCATTGTGTTTTTGGTGTCAAGTCTAAGAACTATTTTCCTATGCTAGATTCTCAATATTTTCTCCTACTTTTTTTGCTAAAAGTTTTATAGTTTACCTTTAAATCCATGATCCATTTTGATTTAATATCTATATAAAGTGTGACATTTAGATTAAGGTTCATTTTTACCCATGGATGTCCAACAGCTCCAGCCTCACTTGTTGAAAAGGCTATGCTTTCTCCATTTTAATTGCTTTTGCACTTTTTCAAAAAATCCCTTGAGCCTATTTGGGCGGGTCTCTTTCTGGGTTCCCTGTAATGTCTCACTGATCTTTGTTGCTACCCTTCTTGCACCCTGTGTGGGTTAATATAGCTCGGTAATATGCCTGAACATCAGGAAGAGCGACTCTTCTCACTTTAGTCACCTTGTCAAGATTGTTTGGGTCATTTTAGGGCCTGTGCCTTGCCAAATTAGTCTTAGAATAAGCTTATTTTGTCTTAAAAAAAAAAAAAAAAAAAAACCCTTGCAGAGATTTTGACAGAAATTTTATTAAACCTACAGA